CCGTCTGCCTCAAGAAGTCCGACGTCGACCAGCTGCGGGCGCGCTTCCTCGGCACGAAGGGACGCACGTCTAGTGCGCTGATGGCGTCATCGCTGGACGTCCTGCAGATCCTGCAAGACCGAAAGCCTTTCGCGAAGCGCCGTGGGCCTCCGGCCAGTCTGCCGAAGGAGGAGTCCGCGCTGAAGAAGGAAGCCGAGGCGTTCCAGTACCGGCTTGACCCCACCTATGGCTTCGTCGTCCTTGTGGGGGATCATCATACCATCGCCAGGGGGAGCTTCAGGTCCTACCAAATCCTCCACGACAGGGACGTCCGGATCGCCAACCAGCACAGCCGCGGCGGCCAGTCCCAGAACCGCTTCGCCCGCCTCACCGAGCAGAGCCGCGTGCAGCATCTGAACCTCGTGGTGGACCGCATGGCCGCGGCCTTGTTCGATGGCGAGGGGCGCTGCACGGTCGAGAAGGTCGTGGTGGCCGGTCCCGGGCCCATGAAGCATCAGCTGCTCGACCACCTGCCCGAGAGGTGGGCAGAGGCCGTGGACCAGCGCCCCCTGACCGTGGACCACGTGGGCGCCCTCGGGATGCACGAGCTGGCTGTGCTCTTGGAGGCGAGATGCGCTACCCTCCCGAAGGCCGAGATGCAGAGGGCGAGGCAGAGGGCGCGCAAGGAGGACCGGAAGGACAAGAAGGGGCAGTAGCGTGGGGCGGCAGGAGGGAACGCCAGCAAGAGCCAAGGAAAGGAGGAGGAGAGGGAGGAGGAGGAGGAGAGGCAGAGGGACGAGCAAGAGAGGGCGCTGCAAGCGCATCTCGAGCGGCGAAAGAACAAGGCCAAGAGAAAGCAAAACTGAAGAAGGCCAGGGAGCAGGGAGCCGCTATAAGGTCGATAATGCCCTGAAGCATTTCTTTGTTGAATGAAGAGGAATAAATGATTAAAGGAAAACGTTTCTTTGGTTTGTTGGAGACGGACATTTGTTTTGATAATAAATGAAATACCAAAAAAAAAAAAAAAAAAAAAAAAAAAAAAAAAAAAAAAAAAATATAAAAAATAATATATATAATAATATATATATATATATATATATATATATATATATATAATATATATATATATAATATATATAATATATTATATATATAAATATATACATATTAAATATATATATGTATCTTATATTATATATATATAATATATAGTAATATAATATATATAATATAATAATATATACTGCTGATCTCTCTCTCCCCTTATCAGGACTCTTCACTTGTGGAGTGTCACGATTTTGTGTGTCGGTGTGATCGTGTGTGAGAATAAAGATAAAGATTAGATATGAATAAAGAGAGAGAGAGGAACAAGAGAGGAGTTGAGAAGGGGAGTTATTAGTCTTTTTTATGTTATCGTGTTTAGAATGATTTTACATTATTATCTCTCAGTAACTCAACTTTTCTCTCTTCTTTTCCCTCTTTCATGTTGATAATCACGCTCTTCAATACGTGAGAGAGAGATACGGAAGAGAGGAGAAGAGTGAGAATGGAGACAGGAGGAAAAGAAGGATGAGAAGGATGAGGGAGACGGTGATGGTTGAACTGAGGAAGGAGGATGAGAGAGCGAAGGACGGATAAGGAAGACAGAGAGCATTGAGAAGAAAGAGAGACGGACGAATGAAATGGACATAAGAGAGAGGAGGAGACCAGATGAGGAAGACGAGAGAATGAAAGAAGAGATGGATGGAGAGAGAGACAGAGAAAGACAGAACAGAGGAATGAGAGAGGAGGACAAAGAGGAGACATCTGATGGGAAGAGACGAGAGAGAGAGATAGAGGGAGAGAGAAAATTTAATTTACTAATTTAACGCTGGTAGAATGATTTCTCACATCTTTCAGATAATGATAAAACAACAAAAATACAAATAAACTAAAAACAAAGTACTCACACTCTATCTCTCTATCCATCCTTCTTCATGTAATAATCACGAAGGCACCCATTGGAAACCATTGTGATAAATTTATCAGAAATTATAGGGGGCCTATCTTGCACGTTATTAATGCCTAACAGCAAATTTGTAATCGGAGCGGTCAACAATGTCACAATGGTAAGCACCGCCTTCCAGGGGGGGGGGGGGGGGACTTGGGTTCGATTCTTTTATCCATTTTTTTTTTTTTTTGGGGGGGGGGGGCAAGTGAAAGTAATATATAGATTGAATGATAGAATAAAAAACCATTTTTATTTAGCGGAACATGATTGAAATAAAATATAAATATGCAGGATTAATATCAGATTCATTGCAACTGTTTTTTACTGACATCTCTTTAGAATCATTTCAACAATTCAAAAGGTTTACAAAACGAGAACTTGAAGTCAGCAGTAGCTAAGATCTGAGAGAGAGAGAGAGAGAGAGAGAGAGAGAGAGAGAGAGAGAGAGAGAGAGAGAGAGAGAGAGAGAGAGAGAGAGAGAGAGAGAGAGAGAGAGGAGAGAGAGAGAGAGAGAGAGAGAGAGAGAGAGAGAGAGAGAGAGAGAGAGAGAGAGAGAGAGAGAGAGAGAGAGAGAGAGAGAGAGAGAGAGAGAGAGTTTTTGTCTTTTAGTACTCACTGCTGTTTCTCTCTTCTTCCCCTTCTTTATGTAATGATCAGGTTCTCACGTCTCTCTCTCTCTCTCTCTCTCTCTCTCTCTCTCTCTCTCTCTCTCTCTCTCTCTCTCTCTCTCTCTCTCTCTCTCTCTCTCTCTCTCTCTCTCTTTCTCTCTCTCTCTCCCTCAGATTTTAGCTACTACTGACTTCTAGTTTTTTTTTTTTTTTTTTTTTTTTTTTTTTTGTAAACCTTTTGAATTGTTGAAATGGTTCTAAAAGAGACGTTCTAAAAGAGAAGAAATGATAATGTAGACAGTTATAACAATAAACAAAACAATCATATCACTAATGAAAATCTTGCGTCATCTCGATCCCAAATTTCGACGCGGCAGGCAGTTCAAAAGTGCAAGTCACGCTTGCAACGTATCCTTTCAGAGCGAATATAATTTCTATGGGAATTAATTGTGGTCTCAATCCCGCCATTTTTGTCTTTCTCTTTTCGAAAAGAAAGACTTGCTTGCTTGTTGATTTTATGACAAATTTCGACGGTTTGAATTTCAGTAGTGCGAAGTCGACGGTCTTTGTAGATCAAGTCGACGAATTGCCGAAAGGAGAGGCGCCATTTTGTTTTCTAGGAATAAGTTTTTTACAATAACTACATTCCGATGTTATCACCTCCATCATCATTATCATCATGACTATCATCAGGCTAGAATTTCTATGATTTCAGTGTTTTACCATAATTTCTAAACTTACTAATCTAAAGCTGAATAGAATATGCATAGAGCGCCGAGAACGGATAAAACACACAGCGAATAAATAAGTGAAATGAGAGAAATTACATTCTATTCGGGAGAAGCGGTTGAAATAAAGGGTTAATACTGATACATAAGAAAATGTCAAATATAGTGTTGAAATGCAAGCATGAATTGAGGAATATATTATAATAACTATCTGTATTTCCATTATAAATTAATTTCATTTATATATATATATATATATATATATATATATATATATATATATATATATATATACATATATATATATATATATATATATATATATATATATATATATATATATATATATATATATATATATATAATATATATATATATATATATATATATATATATATATATATATATATATATTATATATATATATAATATATATATATATATATATATATATATATATATATATATATATATATATATATATATATATATATATATATATATAGATATATATATATATATATAAATTATTGATTTTCGGTTAGTTTGTTTGACATTGAGATCATTATTTAAATAATTATATGAAGAACTATTATCGAATTACGATAAAAACATGCAAAAGCAAATTTCCCAAGTAGAGTAGCGAGAGCCAGATTTTTATGGGGTGTCGAGTAGACGCGAGGCCAAGAGTACATGGTGGAGTAGATGAGCTTATGGGGGAACGGAATAAACGAAGGTAGAGTAAGGGTAGATTTGCGGGAAAGGGAGGCCAGGAGCAGACGAAAAGTTACTCGCGAATCGTGGGAGTGAGTCGCGTGGTCGCCATCGCCCGAGAAAGGTTGTTTTGAAAACTATTAGGCACGAGAGGATGCTGGCGAGCCAGCTCTCTCTCTCTCTCTCTCTCTCTCCTCTCTCTCTCTCTCTCTCTCTCTCTCTCTCTCTCTCTCTCTCTCTCTCTCTCTCTCTCTCTCTCTCTCTCTCTCTCTCTCTCTCTCTCTCTCTCTCTCTCTCTCTCTGTCTGTCTGTCTGACCTAACCTACCCTATCGTCATCATCGTTCAAAGCATCATATCTCTGCTTGCCTATCAGCCTGGCTGTTTGTCTGTGTATATGTATGTCTTTCTCTCTGTTTGTCTGTTGTGTATGTATGTCTTTCTCTCTGTTTGTCTGTGTGTATGTATGTCTTTCTCTCTGTTTGTCTTGTATGTATGTCTTTCTCTCTGTTTGTCTGTGTGTATGTATGTCTTTCTCTCTGTTTGTCTGTGTGTATGTAGTCTTTCTCTCCTGTTGTCTGTGTTATATGTCTTTCTCTCTGTTTGTCTGTGTTGTATTGTCTTCTCTCTCTGTTGTCTGTGTGTATGTATGTCATTTCTCTCTGTTTGTCTGGTGTATGTATGTCTTTCTCTCTGTTTGTCTGTGTGTATGTATGTCTTTCTCTCTGTTTGTCTGTGTGTATGTATGTCTTTCTCTCTGTTTGTCTGTGTGTATGTATGTCTTTCTCTCTGTTTGTCTGTGTGTATGTATTCTTTCTCTCTGTTTGTCTGTGTGTATGTATGTCTTTCTCTCTGTTTGTCTGTGTGTGTATGTTATCTCTTCTCTCTGTTTGTCTGTGTATGTATGTCTTTCTCTCTGTGTGTGTATGTATCTCTCTGTCTTCTCTTGTTGTCTGTGTGTATGTATGTCTTTCTCTCTGTTTTCTGTCTGGTGTAGTATGTCTTTCTCTCTCTGTTTGTCTGTGTGTATGTATGTCTTTCTCTCTGTTTGTCTGTGTGTATGTATGTCTTTCTCTCTGTTTGTCTGTGTGTATGTATGTCTCCTGCTTGTGTCTGTGTGTATGTATGTCTTTCTCTCTGTTGTCTCTATGTTTGTCTGTGTGTATGTATGTCTTTCTCTCTGTTTGTCTGTTGTGTATGTATGTCTTTCTCCTCTTCTGTCCTGTCTTTCTCTATGTTATGTATGCTTTCTCTCTCTGTTTGTCTGTGCGTTATGTATGTGGTGTATGTTACCGTCCCATTGTCAACGATCAGCAATAATTCGTAATCATTGGTGTACATCGCATTCTTATAATTTTCTATTCAAGTATCAGTTTTTACTCAATCGAAGTACATTTTCGAAGCTAAATATAAATCAATATACAATTTCTGTAAGTCGTTATGAAATTATATGCTTTCTCAGTAGTGTATATATTCATAAGAATGCTCGTTTTAATAATCTTCGAATAAATAATGTAATTTATTCAATGGCATCAATATAGAAAAGTATATAGCTGAAAAAAAGTATCAATGGAAGAGAGAATAAAATGAAATGTGGACAAGAAATCTCATAAGGTGAATTACAATTCATCACATACGGTACAAAAATGAAATAAAATGAAATGTAAACAAGAATTCA